GGCTGGGCGCAGCTGCTCCCGGGCGTGGGGCCCAGCTCCTGCTGCCTGGGCTCTCCAGCCCCCCAGGGCAAGGGCTGCCTTGCGCTCCTGACGGGGACAGGGCATCGCTTTACGTTCCGCGCTCTGAAATGCAGAAGCCGCGCGGTCGCAGGCCGGCCGGGGTGGCGGAGGAACTGAGGGTTCCTTGAGTTTGTCTCCCCTGGAGTCACGGAGACGGGTTTTGCAGCCTCTCACGCTGCAGTGGCCCCCCTAATCCCAGAGCCTCAGAGCTAGGCAAGTTCCTAACTCTCCTAGGTAGCTAGGTGCCTGATCCCCTGCACGTCCGCCTTCCGGCTCCCTCGGGGGCCAGGGCCCAGCAGGCTCCTTTCTGGGAGCCAGGCCGCTCCTGGCCCCTGGAAATCAGGGCTGCTGGATGCGTGGGCCCGGCAGAGCAGCCTTACGTCTCCTGCCCCCTAACCACATCCGAGAGCCAGCAGCACGTGTGCAGAGCGACTCCCCGAGGGGAAGTGGTCGGGGCCTCTCGCTCCAGCAGTGCAGCCTTGGCAGCGCCCCCGCCCCCACCCCCCCCCGCCGCGCGGTTCCAGGAAATCGCGAGCTGCTCCTCATTCCAGCTGTCACTCGTCTGCTGCCCTGGGTCAATGTCTAACTGTTGCCTGAGCCTTGCCCCACTCCTGGAAACCCCCCCTCCCCCGCTAGCTCCCCAGGGCAGAGCAGGGCTGGGGCGCCCCCCTCGGGTGAATCAGGCCTGCGAGGGCGACGTGCCTGGAAAATGAGTCATCCCCAAGCCCCAGGAAGCGGGAGACGCAGAGCCCAGCTCTGCTGAGTGCACACAGCGCACTGGAAGGCCAAGCGGGACCCGGGGCTGGGAAGGGAGCAGCGGGTGTAAGTGCCGATGGGGGAAAGGAGAAAGAATTCGGGCCGGGAACCGGTTTGCAGCCCCCCGGTTTGTAGCCCCCCAGGTTTGGGGGGCTCCGTGCCCTGGGGACGCTGGAGGGAAAGGCAGGGTGGGCAACATTTTGATAGGGCCTTGGCAAGAACTCGATGGGTGGTCAAGGCCATGGGCTGGGAAGGGAGCAGCGGGTGTAAGTGCCGATGGGGGAAAGGAGAAAGAATTCGGGCCGGGAACCGGTTTGCAGCCCCCCGGTTTGTAGCCCCCCAGGTTTGGGGGGCTCCGTGCCCTGGGGACGCTGGAGGGAAAGGCAGGGTGGGCAACATTTTGATAGGGCCTTGGCAAGAACTCGATGGGTGGTCAAGGCCATGCTCGACCATGCTCTTAATGGAGGACAGGGTTGTGACCTGGGGCCGGGG